GGACAGAAGGGCTTGGCACAAAATATTCGACAGGATGCAGACCCAGGATCTACAACCAAGAATAATTTATCCAGCAATGCTATCATTTAGAGTTGTGGAACAGATAAAGAGCTTTCCAGACAAAAATAAGCTGAAGTGACTTATCATCACCAAGCCAATATTACAGGAAATGTTGGAGGGACTTCTTTAAAAAGAAAAAAAATGTATCAAAAACAGGAATAAAGAATGGTAACAACTACATTCCTATCAATGAGTACCTTAAATGGAAAAGAATTAAGTGCTCCAACCAAAAGAAAGTGACTGAAAGGATAAGTAAACAAGACCCCTACATATGAAAAGGAAAGGGATGGAAAAAGATACTGCTTTGATGGACCTAGATGGTGTTAAAGTCAGACAAAGAAAGATAAACACTATATGATTTCACTTATATGTGGAATCTAAGGAATAAAAAGAACAAACTAATCAAAAACAGACTCACAAATATAGTGGGCAATTTGGTGATGGACAAAAGAGAAGGGAGTTTGGAGGGCTGGGAGAATAGAGTAAAAGGCTAAAGAAGTACAAATTAGTAGCTGATGGTTGGTCATAGGGATGGGGAGCACGGCATAGGGAATGCAGTTAGCATTAATATGATGGCTAGGTGGAGGGTAAGGGGAGGGAGGGAGCAATTGGGGGGATCATTTTATGAACTATATAGATGTCTAATATAATGCATTGTATACTTGAAACTAATTTAAATAAATAAATTTTTTAAAAAAAGAAAAAAAGAAAATAACAACTGCCAAAAAAAAAAAAAACTGTATGGCAATGGCATATTTAAAAATAATTGCTTGCAAAAATTAAGGAGACTGTATTTTCTTATTACTGGGATGTTGCCAATTAATCCATGATTTCATACTGATGTTTGCTCTGAGACTACCATAAAATGTGTAAAAGAAGGCTTCCCTCCATTTCCATGTGTGTATGGTATGTTCCTTCTTGGGAGCAAAGGGATGAAGGGAGAATATAATAAAATCCTCAAAATGTAAAGTATAGTTTTGAGTTGAGAAGCTTTCTTAAAATCTACATTGTAGCTTCTTCACCAAAAATGGATGGATCTTAAGGGAATTATGCTGAGGGAAAAAGTCAACCTCAAAGGTTACACACTGATTCCAACAGTCGCAAATGTCAAAAATCTAGAGGAGAACAGGTCAGTGGGTTGCCAAGGAAACCAGGGAAAGGTGTGACTATGAAAGGGTAGCAAGAAAAAGATCCTTTGTGTTAACAAATCAGTCCTCTATCTTGATTGTGGTGTGTTTATATAAATCTGTACATGTGATAAAAGGTCACAGAACTATACAAGAAGACATATCAAAAAAATGAGTGTGTAAAAAATGGCGAAATCTAAGTAAGGTCTATAGTATAGTTAATTGTCTGATACTAATGTCAGTTTTCTTGTTTTGATAAAGTACTATAGTTATTTTAGATGTTACCATTGGAAAAAGCAAGGTAATAGGTACAGCAGGCCTCTCTGTAATAGCATTGCAATTTCTTGTAAGTTTAAAATTACTTAAAAATAAAAATGAAAGAAACTCATTTCCAATTACAACAAAAATCATTACAAAAGAACATAAAGAACTGAATAGGCAGAGAGCTTTGATATCTTTATGAGTAGAAATTCTCAGAATCATGAAGTTGAAATTCTTCTTAAACATTCAATAAATTCAACACAATTCCATTAAAAAATTTCATAAAACTTTTTGTTTTCATAAAGTTTTCAAAGATTGACAAGCTGATTCTAAGATTAATATGGAAGGATTAAGGGCTAGACTTCCAATGCAGTATAAGCACCATAAAAGTAGATGTTTGTCTATTTTGTTTAAATATCCCAGAGTCTGGAACAGTACCTGGCACCTAGTAGGTGCTCAAAAATATTTGTGAACACATGAATGGTAACTTAGAAAAAGGAGAAAAAAAGAAGGAAGACGTGAGATATGCCCTATCAATTTTAGATTATAATATAGGCTCAGGGGTAAATAAATGAACCAATAAAACAAAATATAGAGTTTAGAGACAGATCCACATACAAATGAAAACTTGTTATATACTAAAGAAAGAATTATCAATCAGTGAGGAAAGGATAGACTATTAAAATAACCATGCTTAAAGAATTGGCTGTTTATGTGGAAAAAATTAGATCCTTATCTATATCAATTAGATATTCTACTATAAGCCATATGAAAGTGACTTAATCAAAAACAGATTTCTCTTCTTTCATAAAAAGAATTCTAGAAATAAAAGAAAAAAATTAATTAAAAATAAATAAAAATATCCAGAGGTAGGCTGGCACAGCAGCCCCGCAACGTCATTAGTGCTCCAGATTGTCTGTCCCTCCAGAATCCTTAGCTTGCAGCTTTTGTCCTCAAGCTTATCACCTCATGGTGGTAAAGGGTGATTCATCTCTAGCCCATGTCCATTTTTCAGAAAAGAAGAAGTGATACAGATAGTAAGTGTCGGAGTCAAATCAGATCTGTCTGACTCCAAAACTACTCTGCTTGGAACACTTACTTACTCTTCTGATAGGAAAGCTCTTACTATTCATCTCTCGTTAGTCACTCATTCAGCACCTTGAGAATGAACCTCTGATATGATAACCTTAGTGTATGCTAATTATTTATTTATGTGTCTGTCTCTCAATCCTCCCATAACACACCCCTCTGAGGGCCCTTAGAGCTAGAATCCATCTATGTTCCACAGTGCCCAAGACGTGGAGTGAACATCAGGAGACTAGACTTGCTAAATTGAAAAAGGATAAAGTCTCAGGGACTCTCAATAGTCCCTCCCCACTGCCTGCCCTCCAATTTCTAGTTTCTCTTTTTACCTTTGAATATCATTATTAAAAAGACATCTGCCAAATACCAGAGAGTTCTGTAGAATCGAGGGGGAGGAAGGCTCAGATTAGATTATATTGTTTATAGAAACATATCTCCTAATGACTGAAAAACAGTGCCAGGCATCATTTTATTAGTGAAACTCAAATCAAATCAGCAAGAGGCAAAGACCCAAGTAGGAGGAAGTGTAACAGATAATTGACTAATCATTATTGTCTTCTCATCCTGTTTGATTCTAAGGTTTAAAAAAAAAGCTCTGTTTTGTAATCACTTCCCAATCTAAACACATAAATGACTTTCTCCCCCAGAAACATTAATGCCTTCAGCTTAACTGATGGCAAAAATTCTGCCTATATTGGAAAGAAACAGAGCTGAAGGTCAGTGAATTTGTCTAGGGGTAAGGAGTAGAAGACAGTGAAGGAGACAGAAATGGAAGGACATTAAGGAGAGACCAAAAGGTACTTGGAAGAGCGAGAGGTCTTCATGGAGAAGATGTCCAAGTAACTGGCCTGCTTGGGAAGCTCCACCCATGGGTTTCCTGCATGGTTCCTTAGAATATTAATAGCTACCATTTATTGAGCTATTGCTATATGCTAGATATTGTGGTAAGCACTTTTAGTGTATTGCCTCATTTTAATTCTTAGAACAATCTTGCAAGTTCAGAATAGGTACCTCCCCCACCTCTTCCCTGGGTTCATAGATGAAATTAAAGGTCAGGAAGTTGTAGTGATATGTCCATGGTCATACAGCTAAGGAATGGAAAAGCCAGGATTTGAATCCCTGTGGATTTGATTCGACTCAAAGCTTCTGCTGTAAGTCCTTAACTATCTTCACAAAACCACTTTGAGGTAACTATTATTTCCTCTATTTTACAAATGAGGCGACTGAGACCCAGGGATGACCTAACTTGCCCAAGTGACACAGACAGTAAGTGTCAGAGCCAAAACAGATCTGACTCCAAAATCTACCCTGCCTCTCATATAGAGGAAAAGCAAAAGCCAGGGGTCAGGAATGTGCCAGAAAGCCCCTGCATGTCAGGCCCTACGTTTTCCTATCCACCCTTTGTTTCCCATCCACTCTAACCTTCACATTTAGGCCCCTTACAAAAATCTTTTCACTGCCTCTCCCCTAGTGTGTCCCCTGGTCTAAACAGGGACTGGTTAGTTCTTGGGAAGCTCTAAGACACCCCTTCCTCCAAGGAAAGGAACAACTAGCTTGGAGGAGAGGGTCCCATACCTACACATCTGAGCAAGGCCTGTGCATAAATCTGGTGGGTGCTTGGATCTGGAGCCAGCCAAACTGGGTTCAAATCCAGCCTGGAGACTTTGGCCCATAACAGTAGCTCCCCTTTAAAAAACAAACAAACAAACAACAACAAAACACATCTATCCTAGGACAGACATTTCACTAGGAGTTTCCTCCATATTTAAAAAATTTATTCCCTCAGTCCCCATGATTGGCCCTATTTTACAAAAGAGGAGCCTGAGTCCCCCCAAAGGGAAGTGACCAGCGTAAAGACGGCAAGTCTGTATGAGCCTGGGACTGGAACCCACCTAGGCCCCAGATTCTGATGTTGAGCGGAAGAGGGAGGAGCTGCCAGAGCGGAGGGAGGAGGGAGAAAGAGAGAGGGCGAGCTCAGCAGCGCGCGCTGACGACAGCAGGTGTTTTTTTTTTTTTTTCCCTGCAGCGCGCTTTCTCCCAGCATCTTTCCTGGATTTTTTTCCCCCTGCTGAGCGGCAGAAAAGGGTGGGGCCGCTTTCCTGCAGCAGAGATAGCAGCGACAGCGGCAGCGGCTGCAGCAGCTTCGGGAGCAGCCGCAGAGGCAGCAATGCTTGGTCTCCGCTGGAGGTAATCGCCTCCAAGCCCTGCTGGGTGGCCGGCTGCGACGGGACGCCGGCGGGAAGGAGAACAGAGCCTCGTTCACGGACTCTGCGGCCACACTGCCCGGCCTTTCCTCTGCGCCATGGCTTAAGCCGGCGGCCACCTCGCCGCGCGTCGCCTGGCTCGGCCCGGGGTCTGCGCGCCGCCGCAGCCTCAGGGAGGGGCGCGTCCCAGACGCCTTCGCCCAGGAACTCGCGGATGCTGTGTCTCTCACCCTCTGTTTCCCGCTGCAGACTGCGTTCTCAAGACCTTTGCAGGAGACTTCTGCAGGCCTTTGCAGCCGGTAATTGAGGGACTTTACAGACTTTATCTCAGTGATAGCTTTGCCGGCCCAATCTTCCCGGGTGCTTCCTGAGGGAGAAGAGCGAGGTAGCTCAGGCCACCAAAAAAAAAACCAAAAAACAAAAAACGGTGGGAACTAGGTTGGCTGGTCGAGGGTCAGGACACTTAAGGAAGATTGGAGACTTGCTTTAGAACCACAAAAAGAAAGGGTGAGCCAGCTTTGCAGCTAGCATCATGGCGTGGCCGTGCATCACGCGGGCCTGCTGCATCGCGCGCTTCTGGAACCAGCTGGACAAGGCGGACATCGCAGTGCCGCTAGTTTTCACCAAGTACTCGGAGGCCACCGAACACCCCGGCGCCCCGCCACAGCCGCCACCGCCGCAACAGCAGCAAGCGCAGCCGGCGCAGCCGGCGCTCGCGCCCCCTTCGGTGCGAGCGGTCGCCATAGAGACGCAGCCTGCCCAAGGCGAATTGGATGCAGTTGCCCGGGCAACAGGGCCGGCGCCTGGGCCCAGTGGCGATCGCGAGGCGGCGGCCGCCTCTGGCCGGAGCGCACTGGGCCCGGGCCCGGGCCCGGGCTCTGGCTCCACCTCCGGCGCTGGCCCAGCGGACTCAGTGATGCGTCAGGACTACCGCGCCTGGAAGGTGCAGCGCCCCGAGCCAAGTTGCCGACCGCGGAGCGAGTACCAACCTTCTGACACGCCCTTCGAGCGCGAGACTCAGTACCAGAAGGACTTTCGTGCCTGGCCATTGCCGCGCCGCGGGGACCACCCGTGGATCCCCAAACCCGTGCAGATCCCCACGTCCTCCCAGGCTTCGGCGCCTATTCTCGGGGCACCTAAGCGCCGGCCTCAGAGCCAGGAGCGGTGGCCGGCGCAGGCCTCCACTGAGGCCCCGGAGCAGGCGGCGGCCCCTGGCGGAGCGGGTGTCCTTGCAGCAGGAAAGGCGTCCGGTGCGGACGAACGCGACACACGCAGGAAGGCCGGGCCTGCCTGGATGGTTCGTCGCTCCGAGGCGCTGGGGCACGAGCAGACGCCGCTGCCCGCAGCCCAGGCCCAGGCCCCGGCCGCGGGCCCCGAGGGTGGCAAGGGGCGTGCAGCGGCGGACGCCCTCAACAGGCAAATCCGCGAGGAGGTGTCGAGTGCGGTGGGCAGCTCCTACAGGTGAGACACGGGACACAGCTCTTGTGACGGGGCTGGTCACCCTTACCCTCTCCCGAAGACTGTCTGGAGCTCATTCTCCTCATGGCAGGCTTCACATCCAGCCTCCCTCTCCCATCCCAGACCACACCCTCTCCCCCGCCCCATCCCAAGCACGCTCCCATGGCTGGCTTCCTTCTACTCTTTCTTAGATGCTCTTATTATCCATCAAGACCTGCCCAGGTCTTTCGCTTTACCACTTCATCCACCTTTTCCCCATCCCCACCCCATCTCAAGCCCCTGCCCGTCCAACAAAGACCGTTTGCAATTTCTTCACAGGCTGTGCTTCCATTCCACCCCACCCGACTTCATTAGGCTGGATGCTGCCCCTTGCTGGCTCAGCTGCCACCCACCAGCCTTCGTGCCTTCCTGCAGGGCCTCATTCTCCCAGAAGAGTTCTTTCCCAGTTACCAGTACCCCTCCTTCATAGTTCACTTGGTCTTTCATTCTTGACTCCGCTCTCAGTCCCTGGATGATACCCAAGCACCACACCCTTTTTTAGATTCCTTGCAGGGTCCTTAGAAATCACCCTCCTTCAATTGGGCTTTGAAATCAGACTCTACTTTTCACAGCCAGTGGCACA